ATATAGTATTTATAGATAGAATTTTAAGAAATTAAATTGCTAACTTTTCCTTTTCAGTCACCATCTTAAAAGCGAACATTGACAAGCTTGTTGGGTCAGTGTGAACATGACGGTTATGTTTCCAACGTTCTAAGTACAACAGCCAAATCCTGAAAGTGCTGGCGTTTGTTGGGTCAGTGTGAACACAGTGTAAAGTCATTACTGACATTGCTGCAGAAATAACGGCTTGAAGATATAAATATTTAGGTCTTTAGCGAACACTGTTGCTATGCAGCTTCTGTAGTCTAAACTTCACCAGTCTAAACCTCACGGAGTGCTGAAGCTCAAATTATTGGTTGGATTCGCTAAACACAGCCTCACTGGGGCTAGAATGACCGCCCAGTGAATGTGCTTTAAAGGGACAGTACGCTTAAAAAGTAAATTCAGTCATTATTTACTCACCCTCAAGTTGTTCCAAACCTGTATGAGTTTCTTCCTCTGCTGAACATAAAATAAGATATTTTGAAGAATGCTGATCATCAAACAGTTGACAGTAGCCATTGACTTCCATAGTTTGGAAAAAAAAAACACTGTGGATTTGTTTGGTTACCAGCATTCTTCCAAATATCTTCTTTTGTGTTCAACAGAAGAAAGGTTTTCAACAACATGAGGGTGAATAAACGATGACAGAATGTTCATTTTTGGGTGAACTGTCACTTGAGCTGATTAGCAGAGGAAGAGATGTCGTAGCTCAAGCATGTGTGTTCAGTCCCTCTCAGAAGCCCCTCCGTCCACCCCGTTCCTCACCCCCCTCATGCCTGGGTGAAGATCACTCACACTAGACGCAGCTGTGGATGATTAACTGCCTTGATCCAAATAAAATTCAGACTTTCGTTTGGAGCCATCCATATGAGCATGAGTATGTTCAGAGATTTAGGGACAGAGAAACATACATTTGATCTATTTACTGATACAATATTGAGCTGGAGCGTAGCCAAAGGAAGTGCTGTAAAAAGCAAAGCCCTGCATGTACCCAGGGGTGTACAGTATGAACCATCGGGGAAGTGGGGGGACATTAGAAACCTTAATCACCTTGGTGATTTACCATTCACTGAGTAATCTAAAAGTTAAATGCTTTACTGGTAAGTCTGTGTCACTTAGAGCAGAATTACTGCTTACCGTGTTTGTTCATTTGACAACAAGCTGGTAGAGTGTTCAGTTGTTTTTTTTGTTAAAATCCTAGTTGCAAGTGACTGGTTACAGATATTTTTCTCCCCTCAGCCAAGCCTGGGTTGTTATTGTTAACTGAAACAAAAACAGTTAAACAAATCAGTTTTATTTTTGAATTTTATTTCAGCTAAGTGCCAAAGCAACATTTGAAATTTTCATTTAGTTTTAGTATTAAAATAACTTAAACTAAACAAAGTAAAACTAAAACTTAAGTATAACCATGTATAAAAAATAAATAAAAATGACAAAACACACAAAAGAGCTTGAAACAGAAACAGAAAATATAAAAGTGAAATCTGATTCAAAATAACAAAAACGATATAATACACCAGTGATACTAAAATTACACTGGGACAAGCAAAGAAACACTCTTAATAATTATTATATTGTTAATTATTAATGATCAATTTTCAATATCATTATTTTTATTTGTAATATTTATCATTTATAATTCATTATTAATTTACTTAATTAATAATTAATTATAAATGATAAATATTACAAATAAAAATAGTGATATTATATGTAATTTATTATTAATTCATATTTATAATTATAAATAATTATTAAAATATTAAATATATAAAATTTACATTATTTAGAGCTGTAATGGTTGCTATATTTTAATAGCTTCTATGGTGTGTTAACAAAACAGGTGTGGTATATTATTTCACTTATTCTTGGTAGCTGAATGTAACAAATTAGTCTACATTTTTTTATTTTAAATGAAAGACGTAAGGGGTTTGGGATGCGTTAAAATGTGAATGACTGCCGTTTGAATTTTCTACATGCGTATGTTCTGTGTGGGACTGGCTGTGACTTTGTGATTTTCTACTATGCGAGTAGGAACTTTGTGTAAAGTCCTCTTTAAATTGAGTTTGCCACGGTCAAAAAGCATCATCCATGCAGCTTATTCAGTGTAATGATTCACTTACAGGTCAGCATCAAATATTTGCCAGAATTCTGGATCTTACTTCGCTTGAGAAAGGAAGTATCATTTTCCAAACAGGATTTTGGACAGACAGTCATTTAAAACAAAAAAAAAAAAAAGAGAGA